TCAATAGGAATAATTATAAAGATTATTTACACTCTTATTACCTTATATATACATTCAATCAGATGGATAAAATAATTTCCTTTCGTCTTTCTCTCAATTTTTTAGTTGTTGGTTTTGTTGTTATACCTTTTTCTTTTTTGATACTTTTTAAAGCGAATTTATAATTGACTGATTTTTATTATTAATTAATTAATTGCACTATTGTACTATAATTGTTGATTATAATTGGGTGGTCTGTTTATTATAAAAACAGTTTATGTCGAAAAAAGTGAAAAGATTAGTCTTTAAGGTGTGTAGCTAAAAGAGAACAACCAACCAGATAGTGAGGGATATTGTTTAATTATTATTATTGCGAAGTTGGTTGTATGAATAAAAGAATTTGATATTTTTTCACTTGGTATTTTTATTCGTATCTTTTCCAACAAAAAAAAATACTTATCCCTTACACTTTACCTTGTTTTATCTTATGTTCCATTCTTCAATTTTGTTTTCAGGTTTAATGTATGTTTCTTTTGTAGGTCGCATATCAGCTTAAATGCCACATCTTTTGATGTGATAAAGTCTCTGTCATGCTGAACTATCACCGTGTTTGAGAATAACTTGCCACTCTAAAATTAAAGATATTTATTTAAAGTGTTAAAAACCATTTCTTTTTTTAAAGGAAGTGAGTCTTGGTATTACAAAAGGTTTAGAAATATTTCAGGGCTTTAAGAGCCAAAGCAGTTTAAATAAGGGCTTTGAGCTTGGAGCTCCTTTGATGTTGCTTATACATGTTAAAAATATTCGTAAAATTTAAAGAACTTTTAATGAACTTATGAAAGTATTTGTGGCTAGGTGACTGGTGATAAATTGCTCTTTTTATTGACTTACAACATTTGGCCATTTAACGATATCAATCGATAATTCTGTAGAAACATTTATTTATTAACATTAGTAATTATATTTTATTAGACTTAAGCAACTTACTTTCTTCGTTTTGCAATCATGCACTGGTATTTCTAACTCGTAAGTTTTATTTTTTGGGTGTTTTTCTGCGTCAACAAAGCACTTTTTCTCTTTATTTTTGAAATTCCCTTTGGTATATATAAATCCATGAAACTCTTGCGTAGGTTTTATTGAAATTCGCATTAACTCGTTACTGCAATTTAAGCTAAGTTTAAAGTTTATAGCATTTTCTTCATTCATTGACGAAATTGCGCCTACAAAGAGTTAATTTTAAATATCTTAAACACAAATTAGGACGTAAAATACCGAAAACAAAAATGAATGCAAAAATATGCGTAAGCTTCATCATTAGTTAAAATTTATCAGGAAAACTGATTTAATTTTAAATGTACATGATTTTAAATAGGTTTTTCACCAAGTATAACATTAATTATTTGGAGCGGGAACCATCAGTTACAGTAAATGCAATTAAATATTGCATTCTGTATAATTAGCGCAACTTGTTGTACTAACAGAGGTAGTCTTTAATCGGCATACACAAAGAAAATGTTTTCTGTTGATTTTTTTATTAACAAATGTCGCAAATAACAATTAATTCATTTATTTAGCGCCTGCAACACCTAATTATAGGCATGTAATATCCGCGCTTTGACCCACTTTGACCCACCTTTGAGCAATTCTGAAAATGGAAAACAATCCGACTTTACTTTTAATTGAAGAAATTATTTTTTTAAACGTAATACTAAATAATTGCTATACTTAAAGCATTACCAATTTTCTACAATTTATTTATAACAAAATTCCATAATTGTTATTATTTCATATTATTTCAGTACATTTGTGATTATGTTTAAGATAAAAGGTTTTTTGTCGGATTTTTTCGGTTTTGGCATTTCTAATTTTGGGCATGAAATTCGAAAAACCGCGCCTTTTACGTTAATGCTAGATTTTAGCAATAGAGTGTGCGCTTGTAGAAATGAATAAGTTATCTATGGAATTGTGTAAATCTACGATCTTCTGTAATGTATAACCTCCAAATTTCTGGTACTTGTAAACATTTATTTTTGCCATTTAAAAGATTATTTAAAACAAGTATAATGGCTAAAAGTAAATTTGAATATGTAAGAAAATTCGAATTTGAAGATAGGCTATTACCAAATTGCTGGATTGTGGTCAGAATTGATGGTAGAAATTTTCACAAATTCTCTGATAAACACAAGTTTGAAAAACCTAACGATTTGAGAGCTTTAAATTTAATGAACAGGGCTGCGGTAACTGTAATGGAAGAGTTTAAAGACATTTCATTAGCTTACGGTGAAAGTGATGAATATTCCTTTGTGCTTAGAAAAGATACGGAACTTTATAATCGTAGAGGAACTAAGATAATGACATACTTGAATAGCTTATTTACATCTTCGTTTGTATTCTTTTGGAAAGAATATTTTAATGAACA